GATCTGGGAGGAGTCTGCATGTGGGCCTTCGGGAACAGTTGGAGAAGAATGCGTGTTCTTTGAGAGACTGCCAAGCTTTCGCTGTGAGCCGTCCAGACCTGGGCTGTGTTTGTTGGAGACTGACTGACTCACCTACTCCTTGGCCTTGGTACGTTCAGACTTGGTTCCTTCCGGGCTCAGTCCGGTAGGTCGTATGAGTCTAGGAATTGACCCGCTCCTCTAGGCTTTCCAGCCTCGGGAGACAGTTGCTCATAGCGGCCCCTCGGCCGGCCGTGGCTCCGTGGTGGCGGTCCTCACGCCCTGCCGCAGGGCCCAGTGCAGCCCGGGAGGGAGGCCGGGCGCGGCCGTGGGGTCGGCAGGCACACGCCACGTGCTGGCTCTGCTCTTTTTGACGGAGTGTGCCCCGGCCCGTCTGCTTTCTGAGCTCAGTTTCCACCGTGGATTGTGGTCACTGACCACAGGGCTGTCTTAAGGAGTAAAGAATTAGTCCGTGCGGGTGTGTAGGGCCGGCGCCTTATGAACGTCAGCCGTTACCACTTTTGTTTACTGTTAGCTTACGGCGTCTTACCCACCTTTCCGAACAAGCCTTTGATAAAGCATTTTATGAAGATGTGTGTTTTGGACCTGTCCGTGAATCTATGGAATGAGAATATGCAGACAATCTCTTTTTTTTTCCTTTTTCTTTGCTACAGGGCACGTGTGCTCACTGGAGTCAGAGAGAGAAAGAGAAAGCACCTCCCAGAGGGGATGGCTACATCATAATCCCTTATCTTCCACGTTCCTCTTGCCATTCTGGGTCCACACACACACCTGGTCTGTCTTTCAGGCCTTCGGGTCTGGCACTTGAACCGTGCAGTTGGCCTTGTGAGAGCCAGCATCCGTAACCACCACGCCACGGGCTGGCCCCGGTGAGATCGTAAGGCTCCCGAAGGGTAGGAATGAAGGGTAAGGGTTCCTGTTAGGGGGCTGGACAGAGGAAGTGTGAGGACCCGCCCTCTGCTACCCTGAGGCAGCGTCCTTGCTGTCTTCCGTGTGCTCAGCTGTTGAAAGAAACAGCGAACTAGAGGGTGTGTTGGAAAGCATTGTCCTTATGAGCTTGTAGGAAAGAAAAATACTTTACGGGGAGGCGATGAGAAGTGGGGCTCCCCTCAGCGAGTGCAAGGGAGCAGGGAGGTGGGGAGATGGGAGACCCAGGGCGGGAGGGTGGCCAGGCCAGCAGAGCACTGGAGCTTGTGCCAGGCCGCGGCTCAGGCTGCAGTGCCCCCTGAAGGACTGGCAGGACGCGGGCAGAGTGGCACTGAGCGCATTCCCTTTTCCAGCCTTCCGGTTACGGAGGACGTGCTCAGGTGCTGGAGAACGGTCCCTACCAGCTCGACGTCTTGTCCTGCTTCTGTGTTCCCTCCCGCGTTCACGGGCGCTGGCTCCGTCTCCACGGGCCGCGTCAGTGTGCTCTGGCAGTGCGCTGCTCGCTCCACACTCGGTGGTTACGGTCGCCCATCGCCGACGAGAGCGGCCAGACACCCCTGGTGCTTTCTGGCTCCCCTCCTCTTCACGTCAGCTCTCCCGAGCTCAGGTCATCCCATGGTGGACGCTCGTGAGGCCCTCATGACCACGCGTGGTAAATCTCCTCAAAGCATTGCGCAGAGTACCGTGGGTGCCAGTTCACCAAAGCCTGCCCGGTGCTGACTGTTTCCACGGTCAGTCCAGTGGCTCATGTAACAGGTGTTCTTGGGTCACTGGAAGTAGTGCCGTTTTTGCACAGAAGGATGTCACAGATTTTCCCGCTTCCCAGTCGTCAGCATCACCAAGTTCTTACCCTTGGGTTTCTAGCTCATTGGCTACAAAATGCTCCCTTGCTGTCCTTTCGAGACTTACGTCCACACTCATAGGTCTCTGCCTGTGAAGTACAGCCATGCCCTGTGGGGCGCACAGAGCAGCGTGGACAGCCCACACCGTGTGGGGCGCACAGAGCAGCGTGGATAGCCCACACCGTGTGGGGTGCATAGACCACCATGAACAGCCCACACCCTGTGGGGCGCACAGAGCAGCGTGGACAGCCCGCACCCTCTGGAACACACAGACCACCATGAACAGCCTGCATCCTGTGGGGCACACAGAGCAGCGTAGACAGCCCACACCCTGTGGAGGGCACAGACCAGCGTGGATGGCCTTGATGCCATCTTTAAAGAAGGCTCATTTAAGGGCCAGTAGGTGGCATGGTGGTTAAGGTGCCGGACTTGCCTTTTCACTTTCCATTTCTCTGTGGTGAGTGCACATGTCCTATAGCAAATTAAAAAAACAATAATATAATAATCCTTTCTAAAAATATTTTATTTAACTTTATTTATGTATTTCTTTTAAAGAAGGGTTTATTTATTTTCATGAGAGAGAAACAGAGATAACAGGTAGAGTTTTCCAGGCCTGGCCTCACTTGGACACATCTGCTTTTTCTGATTTACTGGAGGGCGTGTGCTGGGGGGAGATGGAGTGGGGGCAGAGAAAGCACACTGATGCGGACGGGCACACCATAGTCCGAGAAATCACCCCCCAGAGGGGATGGCCATGCTGCAATCCCTTCTCCTCCATTCTCCTCTTGGGATCTTGGGCACGCACGCACACGCGCCCGGCGTGAGTTTTAAGCCACCGGGTCCGGGACGCGAACCGCGGTCGACTACGTGGGAGTCCAGCGACTTAGCCATTATGCTAATTGCTGGTTCCCACCATGTATACTTTTTATGCTGCTGGATCTGGGTCTCGAACTGTGCAGCTGGCCATGTGGGAGCCAGGCGCCTTAACCCCCCACACCACTGGCTGGTCAGGATGTGCCTTTTCTAAACTGAAAGTTGCACGTTGGGTTTGCGCGGTTCTCCTTTATTATCTCTGCTCTCAGATCTGTGTGGAAGCTTCCCGTGGCGCTGACAGCAAGGATGCTGTTTGCCGCTGGGCCGTCGGGACGCGTTTCTGCGCAGGACACACAGCACGTGGTGACGACCCGATACATCCTGCGGGGCAGCACGTGGCTGCGTGTGCCATATCACAGCCAGACAGCCGTGACGTCCGGTGCCTCCTGTGCGCTGGGTTTATGACCTCGCGCTCTGGGACCTGCCGTGTTTTGACGTGTGATGGACTCGTTGGGACACAGCCCCACTGTAGGTGGAGAAGCACCTGTGCCGCAATCCTTTCGGACAGCTCCCTTTCGCTAAGTATTTGGGCGACTTCTAATTTGTTGTTATAATCAGTACCTTAGCATTATATGCAGGATTATTTTCTCACTTAAAATCTGTTTTTATAAGAAAAATTGTTTTTTCTCATTGACTTGGATATGGATAAGAAATTGAATGTGGAAACCTTTTTAATTCATCTAAGAATTACCGGGAAGGCCAGCGATGGCGTGGTGGCTTAGGCGGCTGGATCCGACGTGGCTGCGTACGTGTGTGTCCTCGACCTGGTAGCTTGAGAGACATGTCGGGTGGCGTGAGCGCGTGCCCAAGGCCCACCAGGAGAGTGGGGGAGAAGGAATTGTGGCTAGCCGGCCCCGTGGGGATGCTTTCTCACTCCCTTTCTCTCTCCGTCTCTGGTGAGTGCATGTGCCCTCTAGCAAAACAGAGAAACAAAGGGAATTGAGAGAGTTACCCGGAAAAGCCCGGGAATGGCATGGCTGCGTTTCCCGTGTCGCGCTGCAATGTGATACTGTCATGGTGAGTGGTATGTCGTCACAGGTCTGGCAGCTGCTGGGCTTGTTAAAGGAGCTGGATAAAATTTAAAAATACTCTCGTAAAGGGCAGCAGAAAGTGTGCCTGCGAGCACCGCTCTGTCACCCTCCCTCACTCACCCCTGACCTGGCCCGCACACCACAGGGTGGCCCCGCGCGCCCAGGCTGGCCCGGGCAGCAGTGTCCTGCCGCCGCCTTCCCTTTCGCTCATCAGCAGGGCAGATCTGAGAGGCCCGGGCTGATTTGGACGACCCTGGTGACCGAGGCCCGAACTCCAGCAGCGGCCTAACCGTAGGGGCCCCCGGGGAGCACGTCGGCCTCTCTCCTGCTAGGGCTAGACATGACCAGAGGAGGGCGTGTGCGTCTCGCCTGTGCCGCCCTCTGCAGGGGCTGCACACGTGTGTTTGGGGAGCAGTGCGGTGAGGATGGAGAGGTAGACGTGTCTCAGTGCGGAGGAGAACGGTGGGCGGCGCCTCTAACCGTGTGAATTACGGTACCGGGACAGCCCTGGGTCCTGATACGCTCTCTCCTTGTGTTTGCAGATCCACATCATAGATTTCGATGATGAAAACAACATCATAAACAAAAACGTCCTCCTTCACCAAGCCGGCGAGATCTGGCACATCAGCGCCAGCCCCGCAGATAAAGGCGTGCTGGCCACCTGCTACAGCAAGAGAGAGCGCGT